AAGATCACTTTAAAATACTATAAGTAGCTAAACATCAATTTGGAAGTGTTTTATAAAGCGTTCAGAAAGAAGCTAGAGCTTCTAAACAACATGAATAAAGACTCTGGATGAGGGCGAGTTGGTGAACGGTTGGTAAAAGACTGAAGAGATCCGTCTAGTTGTTGCTGCTTGCAAATCTCAGGCAAGTCCAGGCGTTGTTTTCACACACACACAACTTCTGTGTGTGTGAAAACACAGTGTGTGTTCATACACACACACACAGAAGCTGTGTGTGTGTGTGTGTGTGTGTATGAATGTGCAGTTTGGACTGATTGCTTCCATGTGTCTCTGTGTCTGCTGGGGCATGCACACCACATGATTTATACAACGGCCAAATCTGGGTGTGCTTGTTAATATTTAACTTGTTGCTCCCAATGACTTGACATAAAGAATAAAAAATAAAAAAACCCTTAGATGTCAACTGATGTAGTTTAGTTCATGATATTTTCACTTGATTTTGTCTTTGAAGGGTTTCCCCCAGTTCATTATGAGCCTGGCGGGCCACCAGGCTTTACTTGTGCTCCCACCAAGCTAAGCATTGTTTATTTATTTTATTTTGTTTTAAAATTATTGCCTTTTTTAAAGATTTAGCAAGTCTTCTTGGGGAAACTCTTACGAGTGGTTTATTGACAATGTGTGGTTTATTTATTCACCACGTGTTTCAAGCACAAACATGGCTGTTTTTGGGCCCTCTGTCTTTACGTTCAGCAGTGGCATATTGACTGTACCTCTGTGTCTAAACCCCGAGACAAACAGTAAATATCTGCCTCACTGCTCATGATGGCATTACAAGTGTGCGTGTTGATGTGTGCGCAGCTCCAGGAGCAGTTGGACCGCTTCATGAAGATGAACGAAGAGTTGCGGCACAAGCAGAACGTGCTGCAGACGCAGCTGAAGAGCATGGTGGAGAGGAAGGCTGACGTGGAGACGGACCTGAAGGAGAAAAACAAGGAGATAGAAAGGCTCCAAAGACAGCTGAACAAAGCCGACGGAAACAGCTCTGTATGTGGTCTTGTTGCACTTAATACTCTTCTTATATATTTTATATATGCAAATGTATTGTAAACAATTCTCTTTCTTTTAAATTGAAGCATCAAATTGAGGAAAAATGCATACTGGGGTGATCCATAAGTGTGTACTGTATCACCTAAACACAATTCAGCTTTCCGATGAACACAGAAGTAGCTGCAGCTAACTTTTCAAAGTTTGGACTTTGTGCTGACCTCTCCATAATGCTAACCTTGCTAATGTGGAACCACGTACTGGTGTGTTAGGGTCGTTGTCCTGTAAAAACACCCATTTCAAGGAAATTCGTCTTCGTCAAAAGCTGGCAATGTTTTCGCACATTGTGTGAGCTCAAAGTGCAGAAATAAATACACATGCCAAGTCCAATCTACATTGGCTGGATAAGTGTTAAATTTGGGCTTTCTCAAATGCAAGCATGTCAAGAAAATGCTCATTTTGGAAAGGGAGGCTCTGAACTGATTTGAACAATCCAGGAGGGGAACAACACATTCTATTGACTTAACGTTTTTGTTCCTCAAAGTTTCATACAGTTCAGTTGCTCTTTAGGAGAGGTTATTAGCTATTTGTTATTGCATAGACTAATGAGTTTCTGTTCCCCCAGCTGCCCAGTCCAAGTCAAACAGCTAAAGAGTCGGCCGAAAAGCCAACCGCTGAGCAGAACGAGTTTGATCAGCCATGCTTCACAAAAAAGGAGGTGCGGGACATTCTGTTTGAGCGGAACGAGCTGAAAACCAACCTCTTCCTGGTGCAGGAGGAGCTCAACTACTATCAGAGGTGGGTTTTAAAGAGCTTCAATTGAATATTAATGAGGAACATTCCAGATTCAGGTGCACTTTTTTTTAGTTCTTAGTGTTTCCTAATGTTTTTTGTTTTTTATTTTATATCATCTCCTATTTTCAGGGAGATTTTGAATGAGGAGAGGTGTCCAGGCTTCCTTTTGGAAGCTGTCCGGTCGGCAATCAAAGAACGAAGGAAGCTGATAAAGGCGAAGATGCTGGGGATTCCACTGAGCAGCATCAGGTACCTCATAGAGGCAAAATGCATTCGTCATATTTAGAAATTCACCCAGCAATAAAGTCTTGATGAAGAAACATATGCTTTTCTTCAGTGATAAAGAAGAGACGAGTTCCCTGAATGCGCAGACAGAAGTGGACCACTCAGAAGTAGACGGGCCGAACAAACCAGCTGGGTCACGCATTCAGCAGTTGTAAGTTCACACGGAAAGTCGAGCCGGTTGGCCAAACATAGGCGTGGTTACAGCTTAAAGCCTGTAGGGGTCAGAGTTCTGGTCAAAATGGAACCTTTACATACAAAACAGCCTTTATGTACTTCTCTTCTTACCATCCTGAACATGCCAACGCTGCTGCGAAAGAAGGCGTTGGCGACGTTATACTTTGAGGATGCTTTTCACCAACAGAGAAGCTGGTCAGTGTTGAAAGGAGGAAGTGAAAGAAAACCCGTTTGAAGCTGCAGAAGCTGTTGTGTCCGGGGCGGAGGTTCACCTGGCAGTATAATACTGACTTTAAACATAGACAGAGCTACAATGAAACGGTTTAGATCAAATGATGTGTTAGATCAGCCAATGTAGTATCAATGTTGAAAACTGCTGCTCGTTTTTTTTTTGTTAGTAAAAAAAAAAATAGTCAGACACTTCAATTGCTGATCTGATAGAGACAATCCCTCAAATAGAGGAGGCTGTATTTGCAGTGAAAGTGGATTTATCAAAGGTTTGGCACATGGGTATGAATACTAATGCACTCTTGTCATATTTTTATTTGCACAACATTTGGAAACCAGATACCTTGTTGCTTGCAATTGTACACGACTTTGTGTGCAGTCGAGTGGTCTGTCACTCGAAATGCCAATTAAATACATTTTAGCCTATGATATCAAAATGCGAAAATGTTTGAGTGAATATTTTTTCACAAGATGCTTTATATATGTAACTTTGCAGCAGTAGAGATTCCAAAATAAAAGCATTGTCACATGAAGGTAAACAAAACCACAGAAACACAGCAGTATGAGTTCCACTCCACTGCCTCTGTCAGTGTCCCGATGATCTGCCAATCCCTGTCTATATTTAGCTATAATCCCTGACCGCATGTCTGACCTGAGGCCTGTCTCTTCCACTCTGTCGGCTGCAGCTTCGGCTTTCTGACGCGCACGGGCAGCAGCAGGAGCCCCACCCACATGAGCAACTCTGCCTCCAGCTGGGAGATCCTGGGAGAAACGGAGGCCAGCGAGGAGACAGAGCAACAGCCCACTTCTTAATGCCGGCCGGAGAGGCTGCTGCGAGGTTCCTCTCTGATTCCTCCCCCTCACTCTGAAGCTCGGAGCAGAGCATCTGTTGGTTCAGTGAAAGTTATTTTAACGCTCCTCGTGCTTGGGTAAAACAAAGCTAAGTATCTTAGGCGGAGAAGACATAAAATGTCAGTAATTTTAATAAACAAACCCGCTAACTCTTCACTTTTCAGCTCTCTTTCAGTCATGACTTTAGCTCTGTAAGAGCTTAAACCCTGATTAAATGGTACAATGTAAACACAAGAGGGACACGTTTAAACTTTTGAACCTTTTCTTGTTCAGCAATTAATCAAGTGTATATGTACATATGTACAAGAAACATTTAAGTGCTTATAATTATGGAGAAATCCAGCATAGTATATATTTTTATATTTATCTTCAAATATTTTTTGCTAAGACCAAAGACAGAAAGATGATTTTATTTTTCTCCGTTTTTTCACTGTGGGTAGACAAATGCCCACATGAATATTGGACATGTGCTGAAATCCCCCCCCCCAACTTATTTCTAATTTTTCTGGTTTGCACTTGAATGTGTGAATTGTTCAGTTGAAGTATTTACCCATATTGTATGACAGAAGTTTGTCATAATAAGCACTTACCTGTTCTATATATTGTGGCATTTTATTTCAGGTGAATAGGGTTTTTCTTAACCTCTGTAGAAAATTCTTGGGTCGAATATTTTTCATGATTTTAGGAGCTTTTATCCACAGGAAAGCAATAACTTTTTGCCTCTTGAGTCATTTTATTTCCTCTTTGTTTCTGGTAGCTCTAGCATTTCTACCCCTTAAGCCTTAACTTACTGTTTATATTGTTTAAGATATATTTTCCTGCTGCTAAGTCATTCATTATTTAACAGAGCAACAGTATTGGCTGGTGTGCGGTCGATATTTGGTGCCATGATTGGCTGTTGTCCAACCTTCTGGACAGTGGTTACTTCACTTTTATGCACGTTTTCAAAGCCACCACTTCCAGCTAACATGCAGGGATGAAGTCACCACTTTTACTGTGTCTCGCCCCTCCTCTAAATGCGCTACTCATACGGGCCAGTGGCTTATGTCATTGAGGGACAAACGGTGAACACCCAAAGAGACTGTCTTCTGAAAACAGAGTTTGGAGTTTATTTTTGTAAGCATGTTTGTAACCGTTTGCAGACATGAATTTACTGGATGTTACATATCTGCAAAATCTGGATTGTCAATAAAAACATCAAACATACTGAAAAGCTGAAATCCCCCCCCTCTGCTGCACTTTTGTTCTTTTGTGAAGACTTTCATGTTGAGAGTGTTGGGTGAAATGTAGTGGTCAAGTGTTCTGACTTTCTCGACTTGTAAGGAACGACGAAGGCCTTCCCCATCATCTCCAGCAAGACAATAGATTCTGGGAAAAAGGCGAAGCCCACCATGTGTGCATGTGAATCATTCTCTTAAAAGCTCTGCGTCTGGCATGAATTGGAGGAAGTGGCTCCGACTTCCCGAGGAAATGTGGAGAGGAAACTCGGTGGGCTTTGACCTCTCTGGCTGCATCGGAGCCACAAGAAGACTCACCGGACAGAACCAGGGAGGGAGCGAAGGGAGGAGAGAAGACAAACGCTGCCTTTCATTGTACCAGAACAAGTGAGGGAAGCAAGAAGCACTCGCAAAGATATTCGGTTCCAGGCGTAAGGGCATTTCTGCGGTGGGTTTTGAGTGAAGATGAGGTTTCTCAGAGCTCTGAGCGCTTTGCTCTGCTGCTCGCTGTCCTCTGCACAGACACTGGATCCCGGTGGGAAAAATGTCTGCAAAGATTGGAGGTACGCGTCCAGCTGTTGCTTTCCTACTTGGTAGCAGAACACACACGAAATTGTCTGACTTGGATGTTTTCAGTAGTTCAGAGCTTATTTTCCTTCTTGCACTACTTCTAGTGTTTTCTGTAATTTAGGTGGGCTTTGACCGCTCAAAGATTTGGTTGTTTTCTGTAATTTAGGCTCTATTGATCATATCTTGAATATTCAGGGATTCCTCCAGTCCGGTCTGCTGCACTGGATGGCGTCAGCGGGGAAATGAGTGCACCATACGTGAGTTTGAGTGATCCAAAGTTCACTCTGAAGGTCTGAGGTTGTGTTGGGTTGTTGTTTATTCTCATGCTGTGTGTGTGTGTGTGTGTATGTTCATGTGTGTAGCTGTCTGTGAAGGCAACCAGGCGTGTCTCGAGAACGAAGTCTGTATGTTTCCTGGAGTGTGTCGCTGCCCACCTGGCTTCTATGGAGCTCAGTGTAAGACAGGTGAGTTGCTGGAAGCTGTACCAGATGTTTGCCATCTTCTTAGCCACATGACAAAACGTCACGAGTCGAACAGGGCGGGTGCTTTCAAAAATGACGTGATATTTAATAGGGAAGGTGGATTTCTTGCGTTAAATCGAGGGCTATGTCTGTTAGAAGACCAGAACAGCGAAGTCAAATCTGCAGAAATGCATTTGGATGTTTAAAAAAAAAAAAAAAGTTGCAAAAGATGTTATGAATCATACATTTGATGTTTTTCTCTGGTGGAGTTAGAATAACTACTTTGTTTTATAGATATTAAATATTTATAAAGAACTGCTTTTAAATGGTACTTTTATTTATTAGGTGAAAATCTATGTAAAGCAGCCTGAGCCTTTGTGATTGTCCTCCTAATGTAATAACTGGCTGTGCCATCAAGCACATTAGTTTAATTGGGATTGTCTCTTTTACATCACTGCGGAGGATTGTTTGGATTAAAAAATGACCAAAGTACACTCAGAAAAATTTGACCAATGGTTACTCAAAAAAATTGAGGCAACAAAGTGACACGTAATATAATTGAGTAGATTTTATGTTCTACAATAATGAGTAAAAAGTATTGAATATTTTAACTTAACTTAACTTAAAAAAATCAAGCACATCTTAATAAAAGCAACACCTGAAATGTGTTGGATTTAGTAATATCAAGCCAAATGATAAGTTATATTGACAAAAAATATTTAGTAAATCCAACTCAATTTTACAAGGAAAAATTATTTCTATTTACTAAGTTTCTGAGAAAAGATTATTTAGATTTATGAAATATCTGTGGGAAATTGATTCATATTTACTGTTAATCTAGGTGAAATTAATTTTATATTTATTAATTAAATGGCTGAAATTGATTTGGATTTACTAAAGATCAGCATAAAAATTATTTGGATTAAGTAAATAATATAAATGATACCAACTCATATTTTAGCACATTATTGCTTAATTCAACACATTAACACTGTTGTTCTTAGTCATTTGTAGCTAAAATAATTGATAAATTCTAAGTTGTTATTTGTGTCATAGGACTTCAAATCTATTCAATAATATTGAGTGTCACTTTGTTGCCATAATTTTTTTGAGTCTAATTTACACAATATCCTGACCAAACTTGAGTGGCATCAAAAAACAACAAATTAAACAGCAGCAGCATTTCTTTGTGAAACTTTATAAAACGTGATTATCCAGCACCCAACAAGTGCAAAATTCCAAAATACAACAATAAAACAGAGAAGGGGCAATATACAATATATCAGTATCAAGTCAAAACATAGTGCCACTCTGCTCGAAGTATAGTTAACATGATTTTTTAGAACCATCACATCAACAACAATCAAGTTGGACTCAGTTAAGCTTGCTTCAACAATTTATCAATCACATTAACATAGTTAACTTTATGTTTAAGAGGCATGCAGAGCACAACACAAGTATAAATCTTACCTGGGGAAAACACATGACAATATGTGAAAGATGAGCGAGACCTTTGAGGCATAAAAACTTCCATTTTCTTGTTTTGCATGTTTATGCTACATCTTGTCACTGTGTTGGGGCCCTTGGCTCCGTGACACTTACTTTCCTTTTCGAAAAATAAGTTGAAAGACAGAACTGAACAAAAACATATTATATAAAGTGCAAAGGAAACACAACAGCATTTTGCAGCCTGCAGATCATCACCCTTCAGTGGTGAAGCCTGCATGGACTCTCCAAAAAGGCAATAGTGGATTCTCTATGCTGTATAAAAGGGACAAGGGTTCATGTGACAGACCTGAATAGATCCAAAGCCATATAACAGGCCGCACTACCATATATGAGAACAAGGGGTCTGTCCTTAGAAAGGCTAGTTAACTGTAATGTACTGCAAGAAAAAATACACATGCAGAAATCCACTGAACTGAAAATTACCCAAATTTTAACTAACTTCACAGAGCATGTCACAAAGTTTTGCGTGTTGGTTTTGACAGTGACTTGTCTATTCCCTTTTGTTTAGTAAGGGTCCGTTTTCTTAAGCCAGTAGTTTATTCCTGAGGCTGTTCACTTTTGTGGAGAGCTTTGAACTATCCAGTCCGAGGAGAAGTTTCTGAAACACTTCAAACGTGTATTTGAGCTTCTTTGGATAGGCAAGACTCATAGCATACACCAATCCAACAAGCAGGGAGCAAGCCCTTGGAAAGTTACCCTGAGCAGTTAGAATTTTCACGCTGTCCACCACGATACCGATGTCTGGATCCTCTGACGTGTTAGCTTTGATGTTGTAGATCTTCAGGCTTTGAACAGCAAGGTCCTGTGACACACTGTCTTCATCAGCATCCTGTAATAGCAAGAACATTGTGCATATTAGACAGTACAGCCAAAGGAGAAGGTTCCATTTCCCAAATTGCTTACAACTGTTTGGACAAGAAAATCTGGAGTTTGTCAGCCGTTGCTTGTAATGCACTCTATTTATGTCAGTGTTTTAGACAAATATGAGATAACACTAAAAAAAAATGCACATAATTTAAAAATGAAAAAAGACAAATATATATATCAATCATAATAATATATAATATCACAATATAATCAATTATACAATGATGAGCTGAACAGTTACAAATATTTCTAAATGAAGTTTCTGAAATTAAATCAATCCATTACACTTCCTGGCACTGTCTTGATTAATATCTTATTCTCCTTTGCCTGAGTCTTTCTGTAAAAATGTCTTTGTCGATCGCAAAGCGCCATCTTGGCCGTCCTTTCTTAGCTCGCTTTTACGGAAAAATTGCAAAGACTTAAAAAAAATCAAGTTATGGTTAGGTAAAGCATTCTTAGGAAAAAAATTACATAAATTACTGCCAAGTTTTAAATTATGCTAGTTGGTGAAATGAAATTGAGATAGCATTCTGCACTAGCACTTAAAAATTTCTTAATGGAAAATAAAAATTTAAACACACTTGACAGAGGACAGTAATATAGCTTGCCAAGAACTACTGGGAGAAATAAAGTTATGACTATTTTGTGATTTGACTTTCCAACAAATACCAATTAGAAGAGATGAGATAAATCACCTACTTTATATTTTAATATCTACTTAAACTTACATCATACTCTTGTAAGAGTTGATCTGTAGATTCCCCAAGGTACATCATCAAACATCGAATGGTAACATCTCTGGTCATGTTGATGTCAGGATTGCTTGGAGTCTGAAACAAAAAAATAAACACCAGGTGATTTATATTACTGTTAATAAGCTCAAGGATCCTTCCTGTGCCATCTTGAGGACCAGTGTAATAAAACACTACTGAAACTAATTTTCATGCGATTATTTCATATTCCATTGATAAAGAGAATCACAGGCTAACCTCCAGTAAATTTAAGTAATGATATTCCAGAAGTTTAAAAACAAAATTTTGAGAATGAAAGATTAGCAACCATAATGCTCAATGAAAGATACCTCGAGTAGGATAGCCTGCAACCTCAACCCCATGGTTCCGCCCTTGGAGTGGAAGAGGTTCAGAAGTCGAGGAGTATATTCATCCAGTTTGGACATGATCTTTGATTCAAGATGCACCATTGTGATTTTGTGAAACTCATCCTGGATCTGAAAAATAAATCATGAAACCAGTTTTAAAGCCTCAAATATTACAAACATACATAATGTTCTTACGACATTTTTCAAAAGCAAGAAGATGGATCAAATTTGATCTATAAAATAGATGACAGTAACGCAACACATTTTGTATCAAATAGCTAAATGCAGAATCACAAATGCAATCCTTCACATTGACTAGGAATATTTCTGATTAGCATGCACTTATAACTCACGTGAGACGGCTCAAATAGAGCGGGCCATCTGGCTTTAATTTCCTCTATACTGGGTGATTGGTTAATGATTTCGTTTCTTCTGTGTGCAAATGTTTTGGCCATTTTTACTTTTATCAATGCGTTGTTGTCCTTCAGTAAGCAACTGAATCCTCTCTTGTTCTTGACTTTCTTCATCCTCTCCCTTTATGGTGCCTTTGTGTTTGATAAGATCACTGTTGTGAAGAGTAAAATAATCTTCAAATTCCACATCAAAATACTGAAGACTGAACTCAGTAGAAATCCCAAAGGTCTCCTTCACAATATTATGCAGCTCCTCCACAGTGGGCGGGATGCCTGATGGGAGGACCAACTTCTCAATTCGGTCGTCAATTATTACTCTGAGTTTTGCCTCCATCTCTGCCATCCAGACAAGAATAGACAAAAGTTAAATATATTGTTATACAGTACATAAAAAAACCTGTATATAAAAAAACATTTATAAATAAAATCTGTGCTTATTTAAGTGGAACACCACACTTATAATCATAACATTAAATGTGTGTGCCATAATTATGATTATTAAATTGCTAAAATGTCAACAAAAAAGGATACTATTGTTATATTTCCAGAACAATGGTTTTAAAAACAGATGTTATGAGATGTAAAGGTTAAAATAATTTATCAAAATTACCTAAAACAAACAACAGATGTGACGTTTTAGTGTGACCAAGCGTTTTCCTCCCACACTGTATGCAGCCATGTACACTGTACATCACCAAGTTTCTGCTGCTCAACAAGAGCCATTTTGCCAGTGTTCTCTAGTTGAACAGATCTAAGATGCTCTTCATGCCATGCTTGTAGTGACTTTACAATAAAATGTGCACGGTTGTTTAAAATGGCTATCTGAGCAAAGTCAGGAAGTCCCCCAGTAGAGCCATGAGGCAAGCTCATCCTAACAGTGTACTTTGCTCCATAGCAAGTGACAGTGTTAGCAAACTGCACGGAAGACAGAAGCGGTGATGTTTGTCTTAAAGCTTCCTGTCTGTCTGAATGCAGCACATCTAAAGGCACCACAGATATATGCACATCAACAAATGCCAAACAATAAATATTAAAGTCAAAGATGCCCAAAACGGACTAACGAAGCATTTCTCTCAGTCTCTCTGTGGCAGCAGTCAGAACGAAGCTCTACGTACTGATTTCAACCCAACATTCACAGACGCATCTCACTGTTTATCTGTCAGTGTGAGCTGCAACCACAGTTTGAAAGCAAAACGTTTTTCCGAGAAAACAGAAAAAAACGAGAAAGCCGTTTGTGCCATCTGAATGTAACTAACGTAACGTTAATAGAGAGCCTCAGTGAGAGCCGGTGAACTTGGGTTTAGCAAAACACCAGCCATTGTGCTCAAAACACAATAACAGACGTTCCATGAGAAAGAATAAACTGCGCACTTTGTCTCAAAATGTAAAACGGCTGATTTTTCTTCCGAAATGTGTAACGTTGTGAAAAGTGATTAGAAATCAGCTTTTAACATGCTACTTGAGTAAAAATGCTACTTGAGTACATTTTAATAATAAAAACTAAATGTATTAACTTTAAACGAAACTCCTATGTTGATTAGCCTCTCACCGTTGAAAACAACGTCTGTTCCTCCATTATGGAGCCCAAACATGCTAGCTAGCTTGTTATGGTGGGGGAGGGGGAGCTTGAGCTGAGGCCAAAAAACTACATTAAATAAAAGAGTAGCTTGTACTCTACGGCCACTATATATCGGTATTACGTTAGTCACATTAAATTGTGACATTGAGACTACTTTTTCAATCATTGCGATGCATTTAGTCAAATCAAAGATGACTGACTTCGAATCCTTCACACTATAACTTTAAAGTTGCCATGTTTGGTCATTTGCAGTAACTTAAGACAACGTTTAACTGCTACAGACACTTGAATTGTTTTAACTAAGAACAATTAAAACATGTCTTACCTTTAAGCAAACGGTAGTCCATGAAATGCCAAGCAGACTGGATGTTCAAATGCCTTGGGGCAGGAAAAAATAAAGGCCTACCAATGAGTAAAATTTATCAATTTTCTGCACTTTTGACTTTACCAATGAAAATAAATAAATTCTACTTATTGTTTTTCTGCTGATTTTATTGAAATAAAAACCGAGTAGAATGCAATTAAAATATATTCAAAATTTGGTTAATTCAACTCAGTGAGATTCAAAACTGCACAAAGTCTTTTTTATTATGTATAGTTTGCTCTTATTTATTTAGTAAATATTACTTAACCCTGATCACACTTTTTTCAGTGTAGAAACAGTTTGACAACATGAAATAAACTAACATATTTCAAAGCGACTGGCACCAATGAGTTTGTGGAGGGTGACAAAGAAATTTCCCATTTGAGCCATTCTCCACAAGTAAACGAGGAAAAGTCAAAGTGTGAAAAAGTGGCCTGGTTTATTTAGATAACTTTCCTAAATCGCAGGCTGAAAGCAGCATTTTGAGTTCACTCAGGAGTCTCACATTAAAGCTCGTCTGATGATCCTTAGCATTTAAGTGGCAGATGAATTGGTCTTTGTAAATAATCCCTGCTTGTTTTGTTTTAAACACAAGAGTGTCCGCCGGCGTTTTGGGCGCCAGACTGCCGGCAGGTGTGTCCGTGCCACCCTCACGGCCGCTGTCATCCTGTCACCGGCGAGTGTACGTGCCACCCCACCCGCTGGGGTCCCCTCTGCCAGAACACCTGCAAGTGCTCTGGCAACGGCCACTGCCACCGCGTCAGTGGAAAATGCATCTGCAACAAAGGCTGGTGGTCCCAGACGTGCTCCAAAACGTGCCAGTGCTCCAGCGTTGGCTCCGTGGACACCAGCTGTGACCCGCTAACAGGCCGCTGCCAGTGCCACAGGGGCTACTGGGGCATGAAATGCCAGGCCACGTGCAACTGTAACCGGTCTCCGTGTAACGAGCGGACCGGGGTGTGTGAGTGCGAGGCAGGCTCCTGGGGGCCCCACTGTGACAACAACTGTGACTGTGACCTCTCGCACAGCAGCTGTGACCCGGACAGTGGGCAGTGCCTCTGCCACCCGGGGTACATGGGTGCTTCATGCAGCCGTCCTTGTGAAGCCGGGTTCTATGGCAGCAGCTGCACAAAGAGGTGAAAGATTCATTTAGAGCCGTTTGTTTCCGGCGTTCAAACATCCTGTCGTCCTGACTCCGACTCCCGCCTCCAGATGTGGATCCTGTAGAGACAAGCAGCCGTGCTCATCCACCGACGGTGCCTGCGCTGCCTGCGAACCCGGCCTGAACGGCACACGATGTGACCGGCCATGCGCTTCTGCTTTCTATGGAGAAGGCTGCAGCGAGAAGTGTCCGCGGTGCTGGAACAACGAACCCTGTGACCCAAAATCCGGGAAATGTTGGAGATGTGACCCTGGATGGACCGGAACCAGGTTTGCAAGAGTTTTTGAGCGGGAAGAAGAATGGAAATGAGGAAATAGAAAATAGATTATTAACTAGAAATCCAAGTTGTGCAAATTGCATCGTATTGGTTTCGTCTCTGTTTCTGTGTTTCTCATTTAAAATCCCGATGAAGTTATTTGTGGCTGTAATGTGGTTTCAGGTTCTGAATCTGTGCTGTTGTTTTGGTGCTCGTCCAGGTGTGAGGAGCCCTGCTCAGACGGGACGTATGGGGACGCCTGTCGCTTCCTGTGCGGTCCCTGTTTCCATGGTAACTGTCATCATGTGACCGGAAGATGTGTCTGTCAGGCAGGTTTTCAAGGAGAAAGGTAAACCATCAGACCCACACCCTGATTAGTTTTTCTTTTTCTTTCTAGAAATAGGTTCATGACTCCACATAGACAAGTGATAACCATCCACACTGAATGTCTTTATATCGCCACACAATGCCAGGTTTTTATCAGAAATGGCAAATTATTGACATTTTCGTTTAAGAATTTAAATCTAAACTGGGGGTAATGGTGGTAGGAGTTTGTTGCCCCAGCCTGTCAGGATGCCCCAGGACAGCTGCTGCTGCTATCCAATGGCTTGTGCGTGTGAATGGGTGAATGTAGTGTGAAGTGATTTGGGCTCCTCTGCACTTGACATGGCGCTCATTTACCTTTTTTTTTCCTCTTAAAAAAACAAAACATGTAATGTTTCCTCTGAAAAACAAGGGATAGTGAATGAATAGTCTATGTTGTGGTGTGCAACATTGAAAATGTCATATTCTGCAGTAATGAAGCGATTATCGGTAAACTGATTCTTAATTTGGCCGCTGCAAAAGCAGTTGGTTCATCAACAGTTTCCTGGAAACATTCTTTATTTACCAGCAGGATAAAGATTTAAAGGCTTAGTAATAATAGAACAAAGTGGAAGTCTTTGTGTGCTACTGACAGACAATTAGCACAACAGACTTATATGATATAGATGCAATATGATAAGAAAAATCTAATGGAAATGTCTATTTGTATAAATAAAACATCTTTATAATACAGTTTGTTAAATTCCAGTGTATTTTATCATCTAAATGTTCAATTCATTCATTCATGTTTCGCTCAAAGCTTAAACTTCCAGAGTTCTGTCAGCTCAAACTGGATCTGATCACCTTTCTGTCTACCTGCAGTAATATTTATGGTTGGGATCAGATGAAGTACCAAATAATCATTCTGAGGCAGCTAACGGCTCCTGGAAAGTGGGAGCTCATCAGGAAAACAACAAAAATATCTGGTTTAATCAGTTTTGTTGTGTTGTTCAGCAAGGGTCAAATTACGAGGTGATTCACTGTGGTAGTTTACAGCAGCACTCTGAGCGTCGCTGTCATTTGCAGCTGTAACAACACCTGTCCCGCTCCACTGTTTGGCCTGAACTGTTCGTCCGTCTGTGACTGTGGTGAAGGAGTGGGCTGCCACCCGGTCACTGGTGCTTGCCCCTACAGTATGTACACCCCCTCACAGGATCTGTGTTTCGTGATGCAAGTGTCTCCTTTTAATGACCTCTAATGTTGCGTGTCCAGCAGGTGGTAGAGGTGCTGTGCTCGCAGGCGTGCTGGTTCCCTTGTTCCTGCTGTTTTTTGCTGTCCTGTGTTGCTGCCTGTGTTGCGGAGGAGGTCCAGCCGACAGCAAAAACAGGTCCGTTCCTTGTTACATTCATAAACATGACTGGTTTAAGTCGTTGTATGGGATGTGCTGCAGTGTAAATCTGAACTATTTCAAAGGGTTAGGATGAGAGACATTATTTAAATTCCTTGATGACTTCAAAAAATATGATTCAATACATTTATCTACTGGATAAAGCACATGTGTTATGTAGTTTATGTTGAGCAACATTCAGCGCTTTTAATGATTGTAATTCTAATTTATTAAATTTGACTTACTACTCATTTATTTGGGGGAAAATGTCTCCCCCTTCTGGCAGTAAGAGTAATTGCACAAATCTTCTCACTTAAGTTGATGCTTTCCTTTGACAACTTAAATGAAGTTACTTTTCACTAATAATCAGCCTCCTGGTCATATGGGAAAACTATTTTAAGTTGTGTTAAATTTGAATTTATGTGTCTTATTATTGACAGTGCATATGAATATTGTTTTAATAAGAGTACATTAAAACAACCAGATCCATGTCTCTGCTGACAAAGCCGTAAATTCTGACTTTTGGCAGCCAGAAACAGTATAAAAGCTCCCAACCCTTTTATTTTGACCCTCTGCTGTTTTCCTCCCGTTGTGGCAGTGCGGCTGTGGCTGACGGCGGCATGTTGGTCAGGATGAAATATCACGTCTACAGCGTCCTGGCCAACATCGGCGCTGCCCTCCCCTGCATGTCGGACTGGTCCTCCGGTCTGCCTCGAGTCACTGGTCAGTACCAACTCAAAGTGTTTTTCCTGTATCGATTGTTCCCTCAAAGTCTACATGCAGCTGTTGATTGGACCTTTCCTGCTGTTATTACCCACACTTGCAGGATATTTTCACTGGCCGACAGCTCACATAGAGCGGCGAAGACAATGTGACGAAGGAAACGAGAGAAAAAGAGCTAGAAAACAAGCGGGCTGATCATAATTCATCGTTACAGCAATAATATCGCAACGGCACATTTTTCCTGACACAATGCAGGCCTGTTTTCAGGCGGTGCTGAGTGAGACGTTGCTTGTGAAGAAGTTGTTTTATAACTGAACTCTGCTTCTTCACAATGTTCCCCCTGATCTGTCTGCCGCGTTCTTTGGTTTTCATTTTGCGAGTTGCTCCTGGATTTCTCATGTAAATGAACAAATACTGAGATAAAATGACAGACAGGAGGACTCTATTCATTCCTGAGGCTTCCTTTAATTTTATTCAGGAAAATCAATGCAAAAGAAGAAAATTAGTGAATTTTATGTTGTTCTATCTATAAAATCCAAATAAAATACATTGCTGTTGTGCTTGTAATGTTACGAAATGTGTGAAAGTTCAAGGAGTATGACAACTTTTTTCTAGCCAAGTACATTTAAAGCTTCATGTCTTAATTTGTTCCGGTGCTCTATTGAACAGTGTCTCACCACGACCCAGAGGTCACTTTCAACCACAGCTTCATCGAGCCTCCCTCTTCTGGCTGGGTCACCGAGGGGTCGTCCTTCGACAGTGACGAAGAGGAGGGCGAGGCTCTCTACTGCGTTCCTCCTAGAGAAGGTAGGAGCTCAAACTCTGCACAGGAGCAGCAGTTTTACAACAACGTCTTCCATAAACGTCCTCTGTGTGTCCGCAGACATCCCCACCGTGGCGGGTGGGGAGTTCCAGGAGATGAGCTCCAAGTGCAATATGTTCCTGGACCCGTCCGGGTTCAGCAGCGAGGACATTGCTTCGTCCTTCAACATCCCGCGCACCTCCAGCAACGCCAAGTCCAAGAGGCCGTCCGTGTCTTTTGCAGAAGGGACGCGCTTTAGTCCCAAGGAGAGGCGTGGGTCCGGACAGGACCCTGGTGCTCCTCCGCGTAACAAAGCGAAGACCCCCTGGGGGGTTCTGATGCTGTCCGCCCTCCAAAGTCAGGGAGGGACAACTAGGACTGGGGAGGAAGACAGAGCTGAGGAAGAGGAGAGGGAAGACGGGGAAGAGGGTCAAGCAACAGAGATGCAAGAGTTGAGCTGTGAGGTTGTGGAACAGGAAGTAGACACAAGCCCGAATGTACAAGTCCCTGGGACGTCAGGGCGAAGGCGGACCATGTCCAACACAGCTGCTCATAAAGGAACCCCGCTGCTCAACCGTGAGGGTGAGGCGGCGGCTCTTCATAAGGTCACCACGGTGTATGTGACAGTCGGTAAGGCCGGCAAGCCTGTGACAAAAGCAGAGTCGAGCTCTGAAGGACCGGTCCAGGCCATGCTGCGCCGACTCGGCAGCCTGCAGAGACAAAAGGAGCAGGACGGCGGAAGATCCAAGTCGAAGGCGGCCGAGGGGATCACCAAACCCCCGAGGAGGAAGCTGGGAGCTCGGGCCGCCGTCTGGGAGCAGGGAGGGCCGTCAGGAGGCGAGGCTAAGCCAGTCAGGCGGAAGAACGCCTCCAGCGGCACCTCAGAGGCTCCACCGTCAGAGGGGAACACGCCGAAACGGCCCCTGTCATCGATCCTGAAGAGCGTCCCGGAGGTGGCCACCAGCGGGTCAGGCCTGAGAGCTGAAGGAAGAGCCGTGAAGGGCGTGGACGCAGCTGCAGGGCAAACAGAGTGCAGCTATCTGACCGTGGGGCCAACAGGAGAGACGACTCAGGCCATCAACAACCAGGGAGCAGCAAGCGACGAACCCTGCTATGAAAACGTCTTAATCTCACAACCGTGACTCAGAGATGCCGAGTCAGCAGGTCTGATCTTAATGCAACCAGTTTATTCCTCTGCAGTCACGTTTCAGACAGAAACGGGACGATGACGGTGCTTTAGCAGAAAAACGAAATGCGTACAGAAGTGCAATTTACATTATACTTGTCTTACAGATTAAGGTTTCGATATTTATGCAAAGAGTATGAAAACAGACACCATGAAACATGTCAGAGCAAGAGGCAAGAGGTCATGTTGTTTGACATGAGTCATCCTTCACAGATTGAGTCGCAGGAACTGAAACTGGGTGATTTGTGTATGTGTTGTAGAATCACGTGGGGAAAAAAGAAAAAAGTCAAAATGTCATTCCTGGCATGGGGTGTCCTGATTTTTTTGTTTTTTTTACAGCAGATTTCTTGTAGATTCCTCTAAACATAATGACAGAAAGAGAGAAAGCTGAGCTTGTAAACATGTTTTCACATCCACAGCCTTCAGGTCAACATTCCCTCAAACAGAAAAACACCCAGCATGAAGCGCTGCTGTTTGGCAGGAACATCTCTTAAGTTTATTGTGTTTTATTCTCGCCACAAAGTCAAAGTTACAGATAGGAAACACAAAATAAAAGAAGATTTAGGAGTTAGTGGTTGTTTTAAGCCAGGCTGTAGTGTTAGGTCCTTTCTGTCTTTTACGGTCTGAACTGAGTCTGTTCTGTGTTTGATCAAGTGGATCAGCTGACGCTGTAAACACACAAGCGAGCCACTCAGAAAATCAGCCGTCTGAACTTTGACTGTTTGGACTTTCTCTGAATGCTGCCGTTTGCTTATTTTCATGAGTTGCGTTGCCGATGTTTTGTGAACTTTTCACAACCGGCGCAGGCGGTTTTTGTGACAACGACTCGTTGGTGACACATTACTTTAAACTCACATGACACACACAAATAAAAACTGGCAAGAAAACGTTTAGCTACTTCTTCTCTGCTCCAGATGGGTCTGGACAGCCGAGCCAGTACTTGGCGATGGATCTGGGGTACGGAGGCACAGCAGGGTCAACTCTTTTGGTCCTGAGGTCAACTCTGTAGTATTTATCTGGAAAACAAAAGCAAGCCAGTCTTATGTCAAACTGGAAACTCTCAAACTATTTCACTGCTTCAGGGAGCTTCATCCTTGATAGTAGATATTTTAAAGATGTGCCGCAGGACTTTATTATTTTGTTGAGTTATGTCACATAAAAAAGTAAGAGAAAAGCCTTGTGATTAGAGGCACATGGAAAGTATCACACAGCAAGCGATCATAAACAGGAACTGCCATGATTTAAGCCATTTCCGTTTTTGTCATGAGGACAAGTAAAGAGCATGTGAAACTGGTTACCATAATACGTCTCCCAGACAGAGTTGGATGGATAATAAAATTAATTTCTAACTAAATCTGCAGTAAAACTCAGACTTTCCATCTGTTAAAATGTGCAAAATCTTTGAGTGCTTTTAATGTTACGAGTTTCTGATGCAAACTGGGTTGGCTTAAATAAGGAGTTGATCGTAAACGTGACTGATTTCAAATATTTTTAAAATAAATAACCTGTTTAGCCTTTACTTTTGTAGCAGGAAGGTATTTCAGTTTAGACAGGATGGAAACAACTGGTTTAACTTTTGTTAAATATGTTTTGTTCTCAGACCACAATCATTTCTTTTATTGTATAGTAATGTTAAAAAAAACATATGCGATTGGATCCCATCTCCCATGATGCTTTGAGACATGGCTCATAGGCAGCTTAAGACGAGATGAGGTCTTTGATTTGCTTTTTCATCATTGTGATGCTAAGTGGTACTGCTTATCATTTTCTTTAACTTCAAAATGATGTGGTGGTTTTTGTCGATCGGCAGCATAAAGCTGACCACGTAAAATTGTCATGTTTGGTTTTAGTGTGAGGTTGAATACATTCTCATACAATATAATTTGAACATCTGAATTATGAACATAATACGTAAATTTACTATGAGTTTAAATGATTACATATTACTATTTACCTGCTTTAAAGAAGTACACACTCTGGATGGGTATTTCTCCCTGGAGGAATCGATCGTTCCTGGTGTTGTAGTTGCCTCTGTTGTTCTGGTTGTAACGGTCCCAGTCCCTGTCCCACCTTCTGTTCTGGTCCCAGTCTTGATTCCATCGTCTGTCCAGGTCCCGGTCCCGATCCTGCCGCCTGTCCCAGTCCCAGCCCAGCCTCTCCTCCATCTCCATCCTCCTCTCTGCCAATCTCAGACCCATTTCCATGCCCCTCTCAGCAAACCCCTGGCCCATGCTCATGCCCTGCTCGGCCATGGTTCCCCAGGTAGGAGACCGGTTCTGCCGCCTACGACCTCTCTGCCATCCATTCTGCTGGTACTGCTGGTTGGGATGGGACGATGACCTCAGAGGAGCGACGTAGATCCTGCCGGCCATGGCGCCATCCACTGGAGACTTGAGGCCTTTCCAGTCTTTGTTGATGAAGTGATGCTTGTCGTGATGCTGAGGCACTGCAGACGTTCAGAGTCATCAGCAAGCAGATATGCTTCTTCCTCTCATAGAGTACACAGAACCTTGAAACATTATTCCCACCATTTGAACTTTCCCACGTTTTTTTTTCTTGTTTTTTACTACGGCAATTCTTTTAAAACACAGAGTAGCACATAATTGTCAAGTGTAAAGGAAAGAAAATTTTCCCTTTTAAAAATAAAAATCTGAAAAGTGAAACAAGGGCCTTCAGGCCAATACTTTGTCGAACATCTTTATCTGCAATTACGACTAGAACTGTTTTTAGGGTGTATCTCCAGTAACTTTGTGCATGTAAACAGGAACATGCTTCCCAGTCTCCTTTGCAAAGTTGCTCAAGATTAGACAGATTGGATGAAGAGCATCTGAAAATGTTTTTTTTTTTTTTAAATCTATCATCAGATTGTCAACTAGATCTCTTACTTCACAATCATGAAAGTACGTTAAGTCGGAGTCACATTGGCACAATATGTCAGTTTGTGGTTGTGAGGTGACAAAGCGTAAAAAAGTTTATGCTGTTTCAATCCTCTTAATAAACTTACAGTCAGGGAAAAGTTCGGTGAAGAATTGCTCATAGTTGCTGCGGTACAGATCTGTGTAGCGCCTGAACAGCGTGGACGGAGACCTCTCAGACATGGCGGCGCACTCCTCATGGGAGGGTTGGTGCAAAAACTCGTACACATAGTACTGGTCGCCTGGATGGAACCACAGAATGAAAACGGCCACGCATCTAGGAAGCTTCTAATCACCTTCAAAACAGAAGAAAATACCAGAGACACAACAATAAGTTCTGGAAGTACCTTTGAAGAAATAAACTTTCTCTTTTCCATGGTGGCTGTGAGCAGGAAGGGCGAACGCTGCATCCACATGGTCAGGAATCTTGTCAAAGCCGACGCTGATGTCCCGTGGATAATCGTCCTCCAAGACGCCGTCATCAAACCTCCAGTACTTGTTTCCCTGATGAAAGTTTTAGTCAGAACAAACATTAGAAACCAGAGGACGATGAGAGTTGCCAGTTGATGCCTCAGAGTTGCCGTCACCTTAAAGATGTAGGTCTTCCCCTGGCAATTGACGCGAGTGAATGCAGCGTCGATCGGCCCGCTGATTCCCCACACATCTTTTATCAGCTTTGGGTAACCGGGAAGAACCGACTTCTGGTCCATCTCAAAGAAATACTCCCCTGGGAAGCAGAAAGCTCACAATCACAACCAAACCAGAGGAATAATGATTCGATGAATGTTGTTGGAGTTGAGACAAAGCACCTCTGAAGGCATAGATGGAGCCATTTTTAAGCTGCGTGAAGGAATCAAATGGCCTCCCACTGCAGACCACAGCATCTGGGTCAGGAGCTGCTGTGGTGACGCTAACAGTGGTGGTGGTCACTGTGGTGGCCAGTGTGGTTTTGGGAGCAGCGGTAGTGGCTGAAGGAGCCTGAGGAGCTCCAGTCGTGGCAGCGAGATCACTTTCGGGAGTCACTCTTTGATTCACCAGCCGTGGAGGTTTTGTCATTTTCAGACTGGTCTCTGGATGTTGATGCAGTCTTTGGTTGAAGTCTGAGACAGGAGGCCCGGTGGATGCAACATCAGCGGGACCTTTTGGGGTTGGCGTGGTGCTTCCAAACAAATCACCATCATCATCATCGTCCTCTGCGAACACAAACGTGTCGCCACGAGCTGAGGAGACACGAGTAATGGTAACAGCAGTGCTTATGTGGGGATTTTGAGCAGAGACGGTATTAAATATGCAGGTTATGGTTTGGAGCGAATGGGCGGAGAGGGTTCTTACTCGTCATGCCACAGATGGCCTCATAGTCAGAGCAGCAGCTTTTGTAATACTTGCACATGGAGTCACACTGGCACTTCCTCTGAGCCTGAAAGCCGTTTTCACATTGGTCCAGACAAGAGTCTTTGGATGAAACGACGCACTTCGTTCAGTTTGTCTCCCTGAGCTGATTCTGGTTGTTAGTGACTCTCCCAGACAAATTAATTTCCTCTGGTTCTTGATTAAATTTTATTTGATTGTAGTTCCCATGGGACTTTGATAGAACATCACAAGGAAAAAATCAGGTTTTCCCAATTATACCGACATGATTAGTTAGATCCTCCTTTGTTGATTAATTACTCGAGAAAGGGTCAGTTCTTGGAACAATCAAAGTACAGAATTGTTGGACTGCATTCAGGCAGCATTGTGAGACACTGTGCAGCATTGTGAGACACTGTGCAGCTATTTGATTTATTTTAGTCAAACTATTATTCATGGCAAAAACTTTTCGGGCAAATTATTGGCTTTCTGGATGCCAGGCACTAACTTTAGTGTTTTTTGATGGTTAAAGTGATGGATTAACAATAAATAAGTGAATCATTGTTAAGTGGAACAAAAAGGATTTGTTGTTTTGCTAAGTGTTTTTTGCGTTTGTTTTCAGTTTTCTTTACTCTGGTTTCACTGAATAAAATCCAGTGCAAGCAGTTGCCTTCAGAAGTTTAAGTTTGTATGGCTCTAATGGCCTTTGATGATGGTGACCGAACAAAAAATTGGTTAAAGAGATGGGGAAGACATTCAGCAAACGCCTAAGATCAGGAATCGAAAGCTGTGTCAAGGACTTTTCCCGATAAACTCTTATTGCACAACACGTTACTCCAATTGGTGTGTGATTTAACAACTACTTCTTTTTGAAGGTCTTAGATATTATTGAGCAAACAGCAGAGAAATAAAGATGTGAAGAAGTTTAAAGTTTATAAAATATGCTCTAGACTTGTGAACGTCTGTTCAATCGATCGCCTGAAAATAAATTGAGTGCAGCACAGCGGTGAAGCTACAGAGCCAATAAAGAATCTTTATCTGAAGTAACAGGAGCAGCAATGAGAGCAATTCTCCAAATGATCAACTTGTGTCCTGAATTGAATGTAAAACGGCGTGATGGAAAGCTAATACTGTGAATTCCATAACTGAATTCCAAACATGGTGGTGGCAGCATCATGCTGTGTAAGGATGCTTGTATGTGTGATGGATGTGATGGTATTTCATCTTTAAACAGAGCAACAGCAGCCATAGTAACTAGATCAGCCAGAGCATCAACACGGTGGTAAAGACCGAAACATGTTCAAGTGTTAGAATGGATCAGTGAAAGTCCAGACGGAGAATCTGTGGCAGGACTTGAAAACGAAAGTCTACAGAAGCTCTTCATCCGGTCCGACCAAGTTAGTGTTTTAAAAAGAAGAACTTCAGTCTATGAACATGCAAAACTGGTAGCAAACCCACAGATCCTTGCAGGTGCAACAGCGCCAGGTGGTTCTACCGAATACATACTCTGCATGGTTCAGAAATGCAAATGCAAGCCACACTTTTCAATTTTTTATTTTTTTTTATCTTTGAAACATTCTGAAAAACAAATTTCCTTCACAGCTTCTTTTACAACTATGTGCTGCTTTAAGTTGGTGTGTTTCATAAAAAATTAATTTTTACTATTTTAAAGTGAAAAATGTGAAAACGTTAAGTCATGTATACGAGCTGCTGAGTTATTTTACTGCAGTTTTAGTTTTTCAGATAAATCGCTAACTAATGCAAGATCAATGTGAGATGATTACTTGTTATTTTACCTCTTTAATAAAAGGTCGGTTTCTCTTTCTAAGCTGATGCCTTTGGCTCTTTAAATAACCGACAAATTATTCCCCATTGAAACATTTATTAGTTTACCTTCAGAGTTCTGCCATGTCTACATTTAAAAAACGGGCTTCTGACCAGATCAAAGTTAATTAATTAGTCCATCAAATTCAGAATAAACAGAATAATTTCAAAAATGTTTTCCATTTGACCCTGAAAAGGACAAATCTTACATGCTAAACAGGGTAAAAAGAAGTCGTTTCTGAAATAGAAAATACTTTTTGCTTAATTTTTATTGCATCACTCACCAGTGAAGATCTCCTCAGCGAAGGCCTTGGCGCTCAGAGAGAGCAGGAGGATTAAACACAACTTCATGCTGTCTCTGTTCTGCCAGCAGGCAGACTGAGGAGGTAATGATAAACCATGTGCTCCGGTTATTGGAAACATGTGTCAGTCACCCCGCTTCCCTCTGTTTACTTTAACTTCGTTTGTTCACAAGCAGCCGAGCCTGGACGGAAAAAGACAGGAATCAATAAAGAACAAAATGCTGGATCCGTCTGACCCTCTGCTCAGGAACCATTTCATCTGGTTTTGGTTAAAACCAGTGTTATATATTTTATGAACTCGATGGTATTGGGCATTATGTTTAAGTTATGTTTCTTATGTGGGACCTCTGATATGCGTCAGGACAAGTGGACAGCTCTGTCTTACAAACTGTTCAGAAAACAGAGCGCATAGATGGTTTTAGAGAGAAACGGACACAAATCAGACACGTCCTACAGAAAATGATGAGCAAGAAGAGGTAGAAAAAAAACAACCTTCAAAAAGCAATTTTGCCTCTGGGCCTTTCTCCCAGGCAGACAGCAACAATAATCCAAATCCACTAAAAGGAGTACTGTTCCTGAGTAAGATGAATAAATCTGATCTTATTAGAAATATTTTTTTTCCTCTCTGCTGCCTGGTGGGAAGTCCGAAGACACATTTGTGACATGATATCAAGTCGTTTTGAATCTGTGGCCCTTCAAGAAATGCAATACATTTACAACCAGAAGTAAAAGCAGCAAATACAGTCAGTCCACGAGAAACAATCTTTGCGTAAATTCAGCTGTTCATTTGTAGATCTCAGAGGTTTGTTATGGAACATTAGTTTACTTTTTGGATATAGAGTGTAAAAGCAGGCAATTAAACCCAATCAGTGGACATGTTGTTTGTCTGACATATTTTACTGTAGATCATGAGTTTGTGATTGGAGGATAGTGGAGTTTGTCATTTAAGGCTCCCTGGGGAACTAATTAAGGTTTTTTTGCACCTCTTTGTTTAAACAGAAAATTTCAATCAATAGAGCTGTCAAGAACGACAAAATGCAAAACCAAACAACTTTGTTATTAATACAGAGTAAATATGTTAGCTTTTCTCAGTCTACTGTATCTGAAATTTAACGCCTGTCTGAGCACAATAGGATGGTTGTAGAAGGGAAAACAAACAAACAAACAAACAAACAAAAAAGGTCCTAGCATTCAGTCAGAAAACTGAAAGCAATGTGGTTGAAACAAGGATTTTCACAATAGAAATAGAGAACAAGTTCCTCAAATACAGGAAACGTAGCTTTGGACTAAACTGTATCAAACGGGGGAAAGAAAGTGATCTACATTAAGCATTTTTCAAATTTAAATGCCAGAAAATATTACAAAGACAAACTGTTATTGACTGAATAGCTGGATTTTGATGGTATTATTTAATAATTTGTATATCCGGATTATGCAGTTGGAATAAAAGTTATACAAGCAAATCTCTGATCGAGATGAATTCACATGCAAATATAGGCACTTTCTATACTCTCCCTATTCCTTTAAACAATGTGCAGAAGGTTTGGGGATAATTATTATTCATTTATAGTTATTTATACCCTATATATATCATTTTATTATATGAAAGATAATTTTAAATAAGTCTCTACAAATAACAAAGTACCCTTTAAAATAATAATAATAATAAAAATTATTCCCAGATGTTTTGCTGTAATCGTTAATTTAAGTTACTCACTACTTTAAGTTACATTTAACTGAATTTATTCCTGTTTTCTTGAGTTTGGATGTTTTTCCCCATTTCTCCAGCAGGGGGCCCGAAGTGTTCACAGCAGAGACTCCGTTCGCTGTGCGCATGCTCTGATCGGCTGTTGTTGCAGGTGGAGGGGAGGAGGATGGAGACCCAGCGGCTGAGTGTTTATTTTCCCCCCCAACCTCTCGCTGGAGTGACGGCCTACACTCAATTGAATGACGCGATAAGTGTTGGGTTTCTCTAAAGAAGCGTTTCCTGTTGATCATTTCGCTCCATTAGTCTTTTATAAAAGACTGGTTGCCGTGGAAACGAGGACTATGACAGCTACAATCATCCTTTGTCTCCACTGAATGAGGAAACGCTCAACATCTCTTTCTTCGTCAGGAAAGAAAGAGCCTTTTCTTCCTGGAAATTCATGTGTTTTTTTGTGGTTCAATGAGCTTCAGTTTTTAATCGTTTGAAGAAAAGACAAAGCTTTACTGATGGAGGACAGAGCTGCAGACTAAACATCCGCGGAGTTCAGGATCAGCTTAAGAAAACAGCAGAGTGCAGGTGATGCGACGTGCTGAAAGCTGCCGGGTGTTATTTATTTGTTCTGGGTTTTGGCTTCAACGTGACGCTCTGTGGCAGCAGCATCAGCCTGAACCGGAGGCCTGTAGAAACGGCTGCAGGCCAGGAAACTCCCTCCGTCTCTGTCAGTCGATGCTCTTGTCTCTGACGCTCTTCCTGTTGAGGCTCCATCGACGGCTCTCCTCCATGTTCAGCTCAGACAGACTCACTGTGCCGGACTATGTCAGCCGGCTGCAGAGGGGGAGGAGCGGCTCCGGCTGCGAGCCCAAGCCGGTCTCCCCGGGTCTCAGCGCAGACGTGCAGGCCGCCCTGAAGGACTCCCTCCCCGCCCTGCGCGAAGCCATCAGGAGCCTCAAGGCCGCCAAGGAGAACTCTGATTCAGACGAGACCCGCAGGGCCGTGGCGGAGATTTATCAGCTGGTGGAGGAGGCCTGGGTGCTGCCCACAGTGGGGCGTCAGGTGGCCGAGGAGATCTGCAACAGGATCCGGCTGGACGGAGGCCTGGAGCTGCTGCTTCAGCTGCAGCAGACGTCCGCGGTGGAGATCATCTATGAGTCTGCGAAGCTGCTGGAGCAGATTCTGATCTCAGAGAACAGGTAGGGACTCTGAGAGACTGAAAGGAAGTTTAACTCAACAGGTTTTTGATGCTGTTAGTTGATAATACAGGCAATAAAGGGTTGAGATTCTGCTGACTGGGTTTTGATATGTTTATTTTGTTTTACCTAAAGTCAAACTTTTCAGTGTTTATCTAAATGTTGTATTTTTCCAGGCATTGATTTGGTTTGTAACCTTAGTTCGTAACTATTGAATGGGTTAAGGTCTATGTTGTGTCTTAACCATTCTAGAGTCTTAATGTAGTCTGCTTTATTTATTTAAATCCAGGTTTTAATTTGTGGTTGGGGTCATTGTCCTATTGTAGCATCCAGGCACGTCCCCGTTTCAAACATTAATCTGTGGTTTCAGGTATCCTCCCTTCTTTAGTATATCACATTTTATAACGTTTAGTTTGAAAACTTCACCTTTTTTAATGTTTGCCAGCTGCAACCACAAGCTGTAGACATTTACACGTGTGTTTCTGCAGTGTCCAGTTCATTTCCACTATATGTTTGGGTAAGGAAGCATGGCTTTCAATTAGATCTGCCAACCAGTTAGCACCTCCTCTGTTGTTATTGATCTTTCTCTTATCCCTCTCTTGACAGGGACTATGTAGCACGCATTGGTCTTGGGGTCATCCTTAATCTGACTAAACAGCAGGACGATGCCCAGCTGGCTCGCAGCGTCTCTGGCATCCTGGAGCACATGTTCAAACACACAGAGGAAACGTCCGTCCAGCTCATCTCCAACGGTGCCCTGGACGCCCTCCTCTTCTGGTGCCGGGGCACGGACCCCACCGTGCTGCGCCACTGTGCCGTGGCGTTGGCCAACTGCGCAATGTACGGGGGCCACCGCTGTCAGCGTTGGATGATTGAGAAGCAGGCGGCAGAGTGGCTTTTCCCTCTGGCGTTTTCCAAAGAGGACGAGCTCATCCGCTTCCACGCCTGCCTGGCGGTGACGGTGTTGGCTGCGAACAGGGAGATCGAGGAAGAGGTGGTGAGGTCTGGTACGCTGGAGCTGGTGGAGCCTTTCATCGCCTCTTTGGATCCTGATGACTTCGCCCGCTGCTTATTGGACAGTGCAGACTGCATGCAGGGAAAGACGGCATCTGACCTTCAGCACCTATTGCCATTACTAGATGGCGCAAGAGTGGAGGGGAAGTGTATTGCAGCCTTTTATCTCTGTGTCGAGACCAGCATCAAGTCCCGGCAGCGCAACACTAAGGTACAATCACTCCAGCTGACATAATTCTCAAATAATTATGTCAGCTTTTCTTTTTTACATACTTATTTTCTCCTTTTTAAGATATTTCAAGAGATCGGTGCAGTGCAGAGCCTTAAAAGAATCGTCATGTACTCCAGTAATGGGACGGCCTCCAGTCTCGCCAAGAGGGCTCTGAGTATGATGGGAGAAGAAGTCCCAAAGCGAATCTTGTCTTGTGTGCCCAACTGGAAGACCTGCGAGGTGCAGACATGGCTGCAGCAGGTTGGCTTCAGTGCCTTCAGTGACCGCTTTCAGGTAGGTCTAAGAAAAACCAACAAGGACCTCAGAGCAATACAGTTTCCTCCAAAAGATAGTGACTAAATCTCAAATTCACAGGCTCTGGTCGTTCTATGTAACAAACACAATAATAGAAAAGTTTTTGTCAACAAAAATGGCAAACAGTGCATTCTTTTCCGTGCATTTCAGGAGTATGAAATCCTTTGTGTTAGTATGTCACTCAAAAACGCAAGGGAATACATGGAAGTCTGTCACTGAGGGGTGACGTAATAAGAAAATGTTTAGTATGTATATGTTTGTAAAGACATTAAAATCACCTTGAGATTGTAAGTGCCTCTTTGTCCTGATGTATCTCATAGGAGCTTCAGGTGGATGGAGATCTCTTACTGAACATCACAGATGAAGATCTAAGCTCTGACCTCAACATGGCTGCAGGTCTCACCCGCAAGAGGCAAGAAGATCAGACCAGTTTGCAACACAAACCTGATGTAAAATGTCACATGTCTGCAAGAAACAAATGTTTGGTCTTCACCCAGGTTTCTAAGAGACTTGCGTGTGCTGAAGACCTACGCCGACTACTCCACATGTGACCCTAACAACATGGCTGACTGGTTGGCTGCCGTGGATCCTCGTTTTAGACAGTACACCTATGGCCTGGTCCAATCAGGCGTGGACCGCAACAACATGGAGAAGTTGACTGACCAGCAGCTGCAGCATGACTGCCATATTGGTAACGGAGTCCACCGAGCCAAGATACTTTCCGCCATCAGCAGGCCGTTAAAGCCATGCCACACAGACGCCCAGCCTCCAGGCCCTGACGTGTTCATCAGCTACCGTCGGACCACTGGCTCCCAACTGGCCAGGTAAGCCCCAATAGGGCTTTACCTGAAATGTTCTCCAGAATTATTGAAAAATTAAGCAATTTGTTTCTTTTTCTCATCTTCCAGCCTTCTGAAGGTGCACCTGCAGGTTAGAGGTTACAGTGTTTTTATAGATGTGGAGAAGCTGGAAGCGGGTAAATTTGAAGACAAACTAATCCAGAGCGTACAGAGGGCACGCAACTTCATCCTGGTCCTTTCTGCCAACGCGCTTGACAAGTGCATGGGCGACACCGCCATGAAGGACTGGGTGCATAAGGTCAGGAGGAACATACAGTTAAATTTCTCATTAGTGTAGATATGTTTGAGTGTGATGAGATGTGCTTTTTTTGTTGTTACAAATAAGGAAAAAAAGACAATGCAAAATGCAAAGTGTGTTGTTTTTGTTACTTGGTATGTTGCTGTGAGGCACAATTGTCACTTTGATATTTGAAGACAATTCCACTCCTTCATGCATTCACACATTAAAACTTAATATTTAAAGTGACATTTATTTTGCAGGAAATAGCCACGGCCCTGAGTGGTAAAAAGAACATTGTCCCCGTCACAGATAACTTCATGTGGCCTGACCCCATGTCACTGCCAGAGGATATGAGAGCAATCCTCAACTTCAATGGCATTAAGTGAGTTTTACTACACTTCCACTCACATAGCCTTACTTTACCACTTCAAACTACTCACTCCAGGTTTTCTGTATGAATGAACCAGTTTGCTTGTGTTGCCTCTTGTCACAGATGGTCTCATGAATATCAAGAAGCTTCAATTGAGAAAATCATTCGCTTTCTCAAAGGACGCCACGACACAACCGACGCCCCGGACAAATCCAAAAGTCAGAAGAAGTAATGAGCCAATCCAAACACGAGTGCAGGACTGTTTGTGATGCCATCTTCCTATCGAACATTGAACATCCTATTGAACATCCTTCCCTGCTCTGCCCGACAGCATGTGAAGTATTTGTTTAGCCCGCTGACACAAATCAGTGAACAGGTCCTTAATCCTTAAACAATAAGACTTAAAAAGGGAACTCCAGATTGTGTGTAATTAAGCCGTTAATGTCATTCCTCACTAACTGCTGTATTGGTGTAATCACATTCAGTATATGCCTTCTATATCTCAGGAAAATAAGCGATAGACCAGCTGTCACTGGCATCCAGCAACATCATCATCAATAGCAATTTCTGAAGGCTCCCCCAACCCTTCAGTATCAGTCAAGGTTATTGTATATGCACTTATTCTTTCTGTATCATGTATATGATATAATAAATAAATCCAGGTCTCTAAAACGACTCCGCTGTTTTAGCTTTCTGTTCATTAAAAAATAAATTCTTTGTTTTTACAGAAGCAACTTCAAGTGTTTGATCTAAATACAGGCATTACTTCTCCAATGAAACAATATTAAACCTTTAAATAAGCGGTAAATACATGTGGTATTAAGCACAACAATAGGCAGCTGTTAAATTTAATATTGCGAAACTGTAAACCCTCTGCAATTCAGCATTGGTAAATTTTACAGCCTGAATTAACCTGCTCACATAGAGGGGAGAGGTGTTTTTCAAGACGATTCAGTCAGGATGTTTTTATTGAATAACTTATGTAATTCCTCTAAAATACACAGACCAGTCAATCAGAGTTTATAGGCTAAGTGTGTTGCTCCATGAATAGAAGTTTCTAATCTACTGTAGCATTTTAATTAGCACTATTTATATGCACTTGTGGGATTCACAATTAAAATTGATCTTGTTTTCTGATCTTGTAGTAACATTAACCTCTAGTGCCCCCTTTCTAAAAACAGGTGAATGAAATTACAATTTCTGGCATTTTTGTCAAATAAATTTAGATGAAAATTTTTATGTTTTTACCCAAACAAAACACATTTTTCATTCGTTTTGTATACATCCCACATAAGAAGAAAAACGACAACTTTAGAAGAAGGAAAAACAAAACCAGAGTGGGTCTAAACAAGGAAGATAAATTGTTCCCAGAAAAAAAATCCTCTTAAAAAGCATCAAAAGCTTCACACTTCCCTTCAGGTGTTCGACCGGGAGAGGATGTGGTTACCTGTGTGACTTCATCGTTTCTTCAGAATGAACACCAGGTACTCTGGGCCAACTCTGAAATAATGTTTACCTTTTAAATGACATCAACATACTTGAATTTGTGGCCAGGAGTATTTAGACCATACATTTTTCATGTTAACTGTGATATGACCAGCGATCACATCACCGATGATATGATCAGTTCTTATCTGAGTTCTTACTCAGGAAAGAACTTTACCTGAGTTCTTGACGCCCCACATTTTTTCAATATACTACTGTATGTTTCCAAATAAAAACAAACAATTTTTGGTTTTCCAGACTTTTTAAAATTTTTAATTACTTTTCTGTATGATAGAAAAAACCCATCCACTCAACCAGTTGAATTCATGAAACACACTAAAACTTCCAACCGTAGACTTTGACGAAATCACCCAGAAATAGCAGAAATGTGAAGATTATTTCTGAGCAAATAAATGATTCAAAGTTAAATTTATTTTCATCAGAGTTTATTTTTTATCCGAAATCAAAATCTGGTGTAGCACTGTTATAGCATGAAAACACAAGAAACAGTAAATGTACTTGTATAGCTCTTGATCTCGTCCAGAAGAATCCAAAGTGCTTCATGTAATATATTCAGGTATTCACACATTCACATGTTGATGGTACTAAGCTACAATATGGCCCAGCAGACTGACGGAGGGTTCTCTGACCACAACTATCAGGCAAGGCAGGTGAAGTGTCGAACCAGTAACAGGGGTTTGAACCAGCAACCCATATGTTACACGACAGACTACTACCTCCTGAACCACCGTCAAACAAAATTTAGTTTTGGAGTTTTCCACCTTATTTTGATAGGTTACTAATATCAGCATTAAAACATTACCAACATAATACTCAAGCTTACTGTTGTTCATTGGCTTAGAAAAGTCAAACTTCAAATTCAAAACAATCATATGAATACATTGTTCTTTTTTCTTCACAGTTTTTGGCAAAATGCTTTTTAGTGTGACAAAACGTCACATGTTAAAACTCAACAAGGATTCAAGTAAAAAAATAATTTGCTTACAGCACATCAAAAGAGTTTCTTCATTTACAACTAATGTAAATTCAGTTAAAAATATACTTTACTTATCTCACAATGGACAAAATAAAATTGAATTAAATATTACATATTAATTGTTTTTTCTTTTGCACAATTTCCAGAACTTTTTCTAAAAAGACAGATTTAACTGGAACAGACAAAGCTGCCTCCGTTTTTGATATATAATCAGAAATCAAAGGTGATTTCAACGTGGCTATTATTGAACAATACTGTGATTCCGTAGTTAACTATTGTAGTTAATAAATTCACATGGAGATCTGTACAAAAACATTTCGAGTCAACATATAAAATATTAATGGGCCTGGATTAAATGATGCGAGACATTTGTGTCCTCGTCTGAAGCTCGACTGACTCACAAATCGAGGGAGGTTAGCCCACATGGTTGTTTCTTCACTTTTTGGTCTCGACGTTTTAGTCACTCTGGAGAGGAGAATCCCTTTGCAGAATAGCAGCCTTCATGTTTGTTAGGATCCCAGTTTCCAACAGCACCACAGACAAGATGAGTACTGAATCTCCACAAATGGATCGCGTCAGAACCGGCTCTTAGGACTCAGGATGTAGAGTCCCTGTGTGCCCTCTGCTGGTCCAAACACTGTAGAGCTCTACAGAGACAGACACATATGTCGATTTTTGACTTGAAACAGTTGGTAACCAACAAAAACCATTGAAATGCAGAAACAGTACCAGGTTCCTATTCACCCTCTATACCAAAATGCAATTCAGTATGAAGGCATGGATGGATAACAAAGGTGTAATGTAGAAAAAGATGGATAGATTGTTGGATGGATCTTGGAAAACTGGGTGGATGATGCTCAAATCGTTGGATGTAGGAATAATGTGAAAACAGATGACTGCAGACCAGGAACCCTGCAGTGAAAACAGACAACTCACCCAATTATTGCAGTAGGAATGAGGAGGATGATGGCAGCAAGCAGGAATGAGAAACCCTTCATGAAATGCAGAGTGGCTGGATAGATGGAGTTAAAGAGGCTGCTGCCCACAAGGAAACACAAGCTCTCCACACAGGCAACGCAGGCGAACAAGGCCCCTGAGAGACAGAAAACACACACACACACACGCACACGCACACACACACACACACACACGCACGCACACACACACACATACCAATGTGAAGCACCTGAATGCTGGCTAAACTAAAACACCACATTCAGAGGACCAGAAGCTCGCTGACCTTGTTCTGATGGGTCAACCAACTTGGAGAGCTTTGACCTGAGGACGGGAGTGGAAGCCATGAAGAGGAAACACAGGCCGTAACCTGGGCAGAAAAACCAAATGCAAGACAATCTTCAGCTTCAGGCGAGTTTCATCTCGTTACTTCTGGTAATGTTGGTGATTGTGGCCAAGAACAGTTTGAGAGAATAGAAATAGTTTGGTTTTTATTGAGTTTTGCAGGGATTATTAAAGGAATATGAGTCATTTTCAAAAAATTGGCCAAGAACTAAGAGCAACAAAGTCAAGAAATATCCTGAAAATATGAGCATGTCAGCACCTGCCTCCATAACCAGAGGTGCTAAGCTGATTTTTATCAGACATCTTGAAAGCCATGAAACGTTTAAGACCTGAAGAGAAACGTACCAGTATGAAAATTTGCCTTAATATCAATATCTGATATTAATATTGCTGTTACGATCGATAACCATTGATTACTGATATTCCGTATGTTTCTCTATTCTTTCGACACTAAGAGAAAATGACCACACCGATCGCTGACACTGTTTTTAGTTACTAATTACTAGTTATTGACTCCTGCAGCTGATACTGATGATAATGCAGATGTATTGTTAAAACTCACTTCTTGTTTCTCTTTTCTTACATAACATCAAGGACATAAGAAAGTAAAACATGACCCGTCACAAAAGGAAAACACCACATGCAATATTAATAAACAAAGCAGTAAATAAATAAAAAATAAACATGTAGTTAAAAAAAAGACAGATAAACTGCATAAGCCAACATAGAACAAAAATAAATACACAGAGTGAGATAGCGGTGTATAAAACTATGAACATTTTGATTCCACGATCGGCCACCAATATGGATTACAGTTCTTCAATATAAGGAACCTCTGAATTCCTGTAGTCAGACGACGAATCGAGGAGACGAGTCGGAAAAACTGTTTTCCTTTTTTGCTAATTTAAATCCTCTAAAATTAACTCAGTGTCACATATTTTGAGAAACTGCTTCCGACTTTCTGAAGCGTCTCACCTGTGAACATAAGCTGGGTGGTATCCGCCACAGAGAAGACCACCAGCCCAATGATGTTGGACGCCAGGCCCACCAGAGCCACCCAGGAGTCCTGTAGGCAGCGCTGCATGACCTTCAACCCCAGCAGGCTGCTCAGGTAGGCCAGGTCCTGAGCGGCCGAGCCGTAGCCAATCAGAGCCGAGTCCCAGCACAGAGGGGAGCTCAGCTCGTACAGCACGTACAGCTCTCTGGTGCCGAAGTGAACGGCCACCACTAGGAAGAAGCAGAGCGTGTAGAGCCACAGCTTGACCCTGTGAAGCAGCGCTCCGCCGCCTTCGCCGCTGATGCCTCCTGTGGAGTAGAGGCGCCAGACGGCTTTATAGTGGCGAGCAGAGAGGAGCCTGGCGCTCGGGTCCGGACGGACGGACTCTCGGATGAACAGGTAGGCGTAGAGAGCTGAGGCCAGGTTGGTGGCCAGGACCAGCCAGAACGGGTTGATGTAACTGGAAAAAAACACATACATAAAACATTGTTCATAGAGATGGTATGTTTTTTTTGGGGTTTCACAGTAGAAGTGCACACAGCAAACATTTTTCTCACCAGATTTCTGCTAATGGGTGGCAGAAAACTGGTGGCTAAGCATTTCACTGAGGATCATTTGTTCTTGTGGTTCTCAACACACACAGAAGATAATAATGAATATGTGGTATTATGCTATTTAATTAAAGAATATATTAGGGCTGGACGATATGATTGAAAAACGCATCACAATAAAAGCATATCACATCAGTTAATGGCGATAATTTTGCTTCAAATATCAGAAATACTGCCAAACGTTGGATGTGACCTTCCTTGTTTTATCTTGAGATGTTGAATCTGGGAAATTTGAGTAGCATAGAAAACGATCCATTTTCACATTTCATGCTCCTTTCAACTGTTTACCAAAAACGAAAGTAGGCACACAAGGTCACTTCCCGTTCCTATTGTTTTTACTTAATATATAGTCATTTGTTAGATCTTGAGATTAGTTGCGTTTTCTGAGGAAAATATGACAACAACCACAAATTAGTGAATACGAACTCATAATAATCTGGTATTTTCTTGGGGGTGCAGTGACTTTTCCAGTAGGGAACATTGTAACCGTTGTTTCTCACCCTTGTGCCCGCCGCCACTGGCCTCCTATGATGCTGGCCAACATCCCTGAAATGCCTAGACAAGCTTCCAGAATCGCCACCCTGAAGGTCCGGGACCTCCTGTCGCTGATGTCCGCCACGTAGGCAAAGCAGCCGGCCAGAATGGCGTTGAAATCCCCCGAGAGGCCACTGAGCAGCCGGCCCACCAGAAAGTAGACCACCGGCAGCTTGAGGTACATCACCACGAGGTAGACCACGGCCTGCAGCGCCAGGCCGAAGTTGGGGAGGACGAGGACGGTTCTGCGACCTGCCACATCGCTCCAAGAGCCCAGGAGAGGGACAACCACGAGCCCGACAGAAAACCCCCCGAGGCTGATGTACAGGTTCCAGTGAGCCGTCAGAGTTTGAACTTCCTGAAGAAAAACAACAGAAACAAATAGATGAACAGGATGAAAGCTTCCTGCTTTTTAGTGCAACTTGATTTCTTAATTGTATCTAATTGAATGCTAAAATATTCTGTTTCCTGAGTAAAATGGATGAACCTTTCCCTTTTTGAGCATCCTCAGCAAATTCCTCTCAGTTGCATCATGTGATGCTGTTCCTATTTTCTGAACAGCTTTTGCAGCTTTAACTCTTTAATTACACATCAGTAATAAACTGATATTCACAAATACTGACCTATATATTGACCTTTTCTTTTCATCCATTTATGAAGAAATAACTCCTGCATGCTGAATTTTATTGTTAGTGAAGAGATCATGCCACTTAATAGAAGTAACCATTTAAAAAATAATAATTTATATAACTTATTTGATGCATGATTTTTGTGAAATCTTATAATTCTATATTTAGAAAACATTTACAATGTTAATAATAACAACATATTTAAATTTTATTAGAATACATTAGCTGTGATTAGAATAATTAAATAGGTTTTATAAGAAACAAAGCATTTGACTTACAAAATCATTTTTGAGGGGTTTACAATCATACTGATGATCATGACAATGATCATTATTATAGTCACAATGTCACATTATTGAACATTATTATATTCACAATGTCACAATTTATTGCATAAACGCTAATACTAATTATAATACATTAGTTATAAATTAATAATGTAATAAAACAGAATATAATTTTTTCTACACATTTACAATAGTTATATTTTAAATATAGTCTTTAATTCAGTTTAAAATAATATATATTATCTTTTTTTTAAATAAATAATTATTTATTTATTGTGCCACCTATTTAGATATAAACACACCAGATTTGTGTGTTTGATCAGGTTTTGTATTATTGCTCATTTGAACCTAAAGGGTTGTTTTGCTTTCTCTTTCATACCCAGCGATGTGTGAACCCACAGACCCCAAAGCAACACATTTCAACTCGTGACCTTTTGCAGCGGGTCGGGGTCCACTGAGCTGTTGCTGCACTCGGACCTCCTGGAGCCATTGTAGCCGAGGTCCTCACTCAGTCGGTCCCACAGGTACTGCGTGGTCAGAGGGGCCTGAAGTGCCAGCGAGAACATGGAGAGGAAGAGCACCGGCTCCACGGACACCGGGACGGGGCAGCGGCACGACGGCGGCGCCGAGCTGCTGGCGGCCGGTGAGCCCGCTTCGTCTTTGCGGTCCTCAGAGTCGGACAGCTGGTCGTCCGTTGACGAGGCGCTGAGGAGGTCTTCGGGTAGGATCGCTGCCGTGTCCGGCTCGTCCATGTCGAACGCACTGCGTGGAAGTTATATGCTATAAAAAACACTTTTTACAGAGGCAAAAAGAATAAAGTCATTGCGGCCGCATAGCTAGCATAAGGAGCTAAAGCTCAGTGTTCTGGAGCTAAAGTTGCATTTTATTCAAAGTGGGGAGTTAGCTCCCTCTAGTGTAGGAACACTGGCACTACATCATTAAAAAGCACGAATTGAAAGGAAAATACAGTAACACACATTTAGAGTAAAAAATAAATAACATAAAAAAAATCCAAAAAGGGCTTCTGTAGCATTATGGTGGTGTAGACAAGGAACTGGTACAAGTTGGTGATGGATGAAGCCAAATACAGGGCAATGCTTAACAAAAACAAAAACAAACAAACAACAGCAACAACAACAACAAAAATGGTTAGAGGCTATGAAAGACTTCAAGTAAGATAAACCTAAATATATAGTTAGAGCTATGTGGCAAATTTGAAAACTGATGTTCCATCCATCAAGTCCTTCCAGGCAGACTGATCTTAAACTATTTTACCCCCCCAAAAAAACCAACAGAAAAAATACAATGGGTAAAATTCTCAGGCTCCAGACGTGGAAACATGGTAAAGTTGCAGCTGTAAAAGGTGGGTCTTTGAAGTAACTGTGTAGACCAAGAAGGAAAGACATCTGAATGGGATAAATAAAAATGCACCCCACACTTAAAAAAAAGAAAGAAAATCATGAGTCCTGTTTCATAACTTTGGCCTTATTTGTGTGGGTTTAATCATATTAAATCACAATTAAGCTCGTGACAAAATGTAGTTATTTTTTAAGATTTAAATGAACACTAGGGGTTTCTTTTATGTTTGTGAAAACAGAAGTTCAGTGTTTGTATGTCTCTGTGTGTGTTCAATGAAACACTTTTGTCTACTTTTTTTTAACAGTGCAGTTTTTAAGTGAACTATCACTTTCATCTTCAGATAATAGTGATAGTCACATCTAATCACATCTAATTAAGGTATCTAAAAATAACAACCAGCTCTTTCTGTAGCCTATAATTGAAAGGCGGATGATCTGGTTACTCAACATTTCAGCTGCACTTAGACGTTTATCTGGAATGGGATCTTTGCTCCTCCACTGTTCTTTTTCTGTTCACAAAAATTACTACTGGTCCCCGACACTGGATGGTGATGGTGGAGTATTAAATAATTGTTTTTTTTACATTTTTATTGCTTTCACAAAAATGTCTTCACAGATTATGTGCACTGACATGTACCGTAACTTCCAGACTAAAAGTTGGAGTTTTTTTTATAGTTTGGCCGGACTTATACTCCGGAGCGACTTATGTGTGTAGATAAACACATCATTATATCATATTACATGTTATTTTCACACTAAACCGCAAGAGGGCGCCCAGGCCTGTGTTATTCTACCTTCGGAGTTAGCAGAGTTGTTTAAAAGCGACATTGAGGACGAAGATTTCATTCGATTTAGTGATTTGGAGAGACACGGATGGTTTGGTAAACTTGTTAGTATGTTATTCATGCTATAGTTATCTGAATAACTCTTAATATGTTATGCTAACATACCAGGCACATTCTCAGCTCGTTGTTCATGTGTCATGTAACGTTAGCATAATGTACAATTATTCAGCCTGTTGTTGCCTCTATTCTATTTTTATTGCCTTTCAAGATGACACGTCTGTTCTTGGTGTTGGACTTTATCAAATAAATTTTCCTCAAAAATGAGACTTATAATCCAGTGCGACTTACATATGTATTTTTCTAATTTGTTATGCATTTTATGGCTGGTGCGACTTGTACTCTGGAGCGACTTATAGTCCAGAAAATACAGTATATGGATTCTACATCCCTTTGGTTTTGTAATTTATGTTGGAAAACATTTAAAGTTTTTATCCACATAAATGGATATTTTCATGTTTTATAATCCGTGATTTTATAAATATGTATAAATTCCGAACAATTTTTAAACTGAGAATAAGAGAGAGAGCTAAGGTAATGCTAAAGCATCACATTTAGCATCACAAAATGTGATGTACAAAAACATGACTACCTTATTAGTGGGAAACCCTTTGGATCATGCACTGAGTAGGAGCTTGTGGAAGAAGGCCGTATTAATAGATAGTTGACCTGTCCAGGATGTACCTGTCCGTTGCTCCTAATGACCCCGGGTGATGGGCATCAACCTCCAGACAACCTTGCATGGATAGCTGGGTATAGATGAAGGATGATTCTAATCACTGGAAATCATATTGTAATTTTAAGTTATCCAACAATTTGAATACATGTTGTATTAAACATAATAAAATTTTCCTCATGCTTCGATATTTCAAATCGGTTTTCTGAAAGAATAAAGGCTTTAGAGGAACAAAAGGATTAAGTACAACGACATTCTCATCTGGAGACAAATTTGAAAAACATAAAATGCTTAGTCATATTTGGTAATCAAAAAGGATCAAAGATATTGCTCTGGAAGCATATTTGTTGCTCTGCTTTCATCAGTGAGCCTTTGCATCCTGTAATCTTTGACCAATGTCAGTGGGATAATGTACAGAAGCTAAATCACTTTTATATGATCAAAGACTGAAACCTTTGCCTGTTTTAGGCCAACTCGTTTGTATGTATGATTCCTCTGAACAATCTAATGTATGGAGCTGTTTCTTTTATTAATACAAAACAGAGTAAGATGTGTAGTGCAATAATTACGCTAAACAAAAGGACGCCTTGCTTATGCATTGCAACATTACAATATGTGTCATCAGTGTACTACTATTGATGTATGGAGCATGAAATTATAGAGACAACTTTAAGTGTCCATTGTCATATAACTAGAAATAAGCAATAGTCAAACGTAAACCAAACACCGATGCAATTTTGTTGTCCAAACATCTACGTGCAATCTGTAGAAACCAACCTGGAAATGTAATCACTTCACCTTTCTACTCTTCTGATGAGTCAACACAAGTAACAGTTTCTGTTTGGCTAAAGGTCCATTAGGCAAAGCAGCAGGTGTAGGCAAGTTCTTATCAAGGGTCAGGTTTCATAGGAGAAACAAACCCTGGTGAAAAAAAATGCAAATATCAAGCCACTCTATCTAGAAACGGTCAAAACGGCTTTATTGAATGTAAATTTAGGAAATAGCTGGTCGAACATCATCCCCACTCACAAAAGCATCTTTAGTTATGATACCAAGTTTCTTCAACTGTTAGATTTGCTGGTGTGTGGCCCAAAAGCAACACCCTGTGCACCAGATCCACAATGAAACATGGTGGTGTCAGCATCATGCTGTGGTGACGCTATTTGTTTCGACAGGAACAGGAAAACCGGTCAGAGTTGTCACAGAAACGGATGCAGCAAAACGCAGTCTGGGGAGAAAACCTGTTAAAATATGTCAAAAAATGTCAGAGTGATGGTCAGAGACAGAGATCCCTGGAGTTAATCTAGATCTAGATTAGAAATCCTCACAAATTAAACTCCTCAGATGATCTCTGTCAGTTCTGACTGAGCAAGGAGTATCTTGAAAAATGTAATCAGTAAAAACAGTATATTTAAGGCAGATTGGTATTGAAAACAAATGTTTTCACCTCAGAAAAATGACTTCCTGTCCTTTTTAAATAAAAGCATCACAGCACATCAACATGATATTTTCACCACTTTTTCTCAATCCATTTATGCTCTGTTTTGCTTTGGTCTGTCACAGAAAATTCAAATAAAATAACTTTACTTTGTAGGTGTTAGTCGGCAAAAATACCCATGCTTCCTTAAGGCAGTTTATCTTGTTATTGCAATAAATAATGTGATGACAGCTGTCGTATTCCACAAAAAATTACAGAGCTGGCAAGATCAGCTGAGCTAAAATTGGTTTGCCGGTAATGTTCACCTTGAGAAGAGGTGCTGAGAAGAGATGTTGGTTCATTTGTGGTTTGCTGGATAGCCTGCAGTCAGAAACTGCAAGTACGGGCTCCAGGATATTATCCACACACACATTTCTGGTTATTACAACAGCAGAATAAAACAGTTTTGATGAGCGAATGACAAAAGAACATTTGGTTCCTGAGAATATCTTTCTTTGTTCTTGTTTTCTTTTTTTCTCCCCACCATTCTCCCAACATGGAAGAAACACTAAAATCAAATTTGATACTGTCCCAGACTGCGTAGGAAACCTGTGCGATGCAAATCATCGAAAGTGCCAAGAATTATTTTCTGCTGGTAACTTTCACTGTGTTCAGAGTTCGTTCATGTCATATATATATGGTCAAATTGAAATTGGCCCCCAAGAGAAATTCTGCTCAGGGCCTTACACAGTCTTGGTCTGTCTGTGCAAATACCACATAGATCATTGTAAGAAGACATGAACTATGACAGTTAACCATATGTGTGGTGAATAGTCGCTGTGGAAAAGTTTCCTTCACATTTTAAGCATTTCTGCATGTGTAAAAGTGCAGTTTCCTGAACGATACTGCTACTCTGTAACACTCAAACCAACAGTCAGCAACTTTTGCTGTAACTGACAATTAATCTGGCTGATTCAGTGCTTTCCTAGCAAACTTTATCCCAGCTTCTTCCTGAGCTGTAGCCTGATAGTCTTGAGATCAAGCCTCTACAGCATCCTGTGCTGTTTCTAGTGGTTTTTTTTCCTCCTTTGGTAAAATAAGTCAAGCCTGTCCTCTTACCTATCAGACTTAAGGTTTGGAGGTGAGTGGCAGTGTTTTGTACACAGAACAATGACATAATGATTAACACTCGCTTTAAACAGTGCGGTGCAGACTTCAAGGAGCCAACGTTCATTTGTCACACTATTCATCTTACCCCTTCCTTCTGGAGACTCAGATGATTCATAGACTGAGCAAATAAAAGTGGCCATTGATTTTTCTCTATCTAAACTTAGCGTTTTTTGTTATGTTTTAAAATAACACCTTAAAGTATTATTTAGATTCTTATATTTGTTTTCCAATTTGCAAAAAATGTTGGTTAGGGCAGCTGAAACCAGCATCTGTCCTGCTTGTGTCTCCGTTGAAGGTGATCTTCAGCACATATTCTTTTGTAGATCTAAATTTTTGGATTAAAATAACATTTTTCTAATAATTTCTGTGACTCTTATTGTTTACAACGCACATCATAACTCACATATACCCTCTCTGCAAACTTTAGTCAAAGTCTAAATGAAACAAAATGTCAGGAAAATCCTACTTGTCAGCTGATCATTACGT